AGAAGCTTGCAGGATTGTTGGCAGGTCTGGTGAGCCGGCCTCGAAGCTTTGCAGCCTGGCTGATGCCCCACCTCATACCCAGGGGCCACCAGTGTCGGTTAGTTTACAGGTGGCACAGGACACGGGGGCTCCCCTGCTGTCTTAGTGGTCCCCAAACCCAGTCTGGCCTGTGCTCCCTTGGCTGTGGAAGGAGTCCCAGCCCCGCCTCCCGCAGAGCCCGCCCACTGCAGAGCCCCGCCCCACAGAGCCCTCCCACCACAGAGCCCTCCACTGCAGAGCCCGCCCCACAGAGCCCCTCCCACCACAGAGCCCCTCCCACTGCAGAGCCCCGCCCCGCACAGAGCCCCTCCCACCACAGAGCCCTCCACTGCAGAGCCCCGCCCCACAGAGCCCTCCACCACAGAGCCCTCCACCACAGAGCCCCGCCCCGCAGAGCCCAGGCCTCTGACTGGCTGAGCCCGAGTCACGTGACCACTGGCTAGCTGCTGGGGATGCTAGGAGAGCCGGTGTCTAGTGCGGTCAATCTAAATAGGGAGGAGTGGACTGTGTGTTCCCCCAGCACTGTGGAGCACAAAGTTCCCCAAAATGGGACGGGGTTCCCCATGCAGGGGAGCCAAAGGATGACAGGCGGCCACAGAGTGCGTGGACACCAAGGGTCAGCGCTGATGTCCAGCCACTGCCAGCACGCGACTCCTTGGTGAGCTGAGCGCGCAGCAGCTATGGTGGCCTGGACCGGCTGCCGTGGGCTAAGTGGTGACAAGTATTTTGGAACTGAGGCAGGGTCAGTTCCTTCCGAGGCCTGCGAGCAACGAGTCTGTTCTAGGGCGGACCCTACCCTGTGCCTCTTCCCATCGTCTTCCCTCTAGGCATGCCTCTGTGGACCCTTTTAATAAGGATGCAAGTCATTTTGGACCATGTCCACCTTAATGAACTCATTTCAATTTGATTCCCTCTGTAAAGAGCCTGTATACACTCTGAGGCACAGTGGGTTAGGATTCAACCTACAATCTGAAGGGGGTGGGGGGAGACACAGTTCAGCCCATAAAAATGTGTTCAAATTTACCCTTTTTATAAGGACACCAAGCAGATTGGGGTAGGATCTTACCCTACTCCAAGATGACCTCATCTTAATTAATTAACATCTGCAATGACCCTATTTCCAAATGAGGTCACATTCTGAGGTTCTGGGACTTAAGACTCCAACATACGAATTTGACGGGGGGAGGTTCACAATTCAACTGATAACACAGGGATAAGCCAGGATGGCTTAACTGAGGGGTATGGATCAAGGGCAAGAATTTAGGAGGAACTCCCATGTTTTGACTGAGCAATTAGAGAATGGTGTTATGTTTAGAAGCTGAAGAAGAGAAGATAAAGAAATGGAATTCAGGGCCAGAGATCCAGGGGACATTTCCTATCCCATTCTTTAATGATTGGCTTAGTGAGGGGCCTATGCCCAGATCTGGGCCAGTGGGATATAAAGAGAGGATTTCTAGAGGCTTCTGGAAAGATTTTGGCATCAAGAGACCCTTGAGAGGCCAGGATTACTCTCTTCACTCACATATGTGGCCAAAAGGGTTTCTAAAAGTCACCCTGTACTTGTGAGTGGATGCAGCCTTAGGACCAGGTCAAAACTGTGGAGAGAAGAGTGAAGCAAAAGGAAGCACCTGGATTCTTGGCCATGGTACTGAGCCACCAGATCAAGCTCAGCGCTCTTGTGAGTCTGCACCTACATAAGCTAGTAAGGGTCCTTGTTGCTTAGCTGTTTTGAGTTTTGATATCCTGTTATATGCAGCCAAGAGCATCCTTAAATGGTACAGTGCATTATCCCCTCCAGTGGACTGGAGTATCTCTGAGGTCTGGAGGCCATGTTTTGTTTGTCTCTGTCCAGATCAGAACCCAGTACTCAGGCCATGCTTGTTGAATGAATCAGTGGATGATGAGTGTTGTGTGTGGAAACATCATCATGTTTCAGAATAGCCCTAGTTGTTGATAATATATTCTGTCCTTGCTCCATACTATGAGCCAGGTAGTTATGGAGAGAGAGAGAGAAAGAGAGAGAGAGAGAGAGAGAGAGAGAGAGAGAGAGAGAATGGGAAGAGAATAGATATCTCATAGGGAGAGGATGCTACCCCTCCTGCCTCATCTCCTGCCATCAGCCCATTTGCTTGGGCCAGAAACCCAGCAGTCTTCTGTGTTCCTCTTAGACGTCTCTAACACCTTCCCTCCCCAGATCCGGAGTCAGTTGCCCAGTTAGTCTTGTCCATCCTATTCTTGAAACAATCTCAGGTCCAGCCCTTCTCTCTACTTTCACTACTTGGTCCAGGCCACCAAGATCTTTGGACTGTTGCTGTGCCCCCAACATGCTGCCAGCTTCCTTGTTAGCTTCCTTTAGTTCTCTTGCCACTCTGAAGCCAGAGCAGTCTGCTAAAGATGGAAACCTGGAAGGTTTCCATCCTCCCCTTGCTTAAAGCCCTCCAACAGTTTCCCACTCCATCCCCCCAGAAAAGTCCAAGTGACAAGCAAACTCATTACCATGACCGGTAAAGTCCTATGTGACCTCCCTTTCCTCCCCCTTCAACTCCTTACAGCCCCTTCTTCCCTCCCTTGTCCCATTCCACCCCCACTGGCCTGCTTTCAATTCTGTGGACACTGTAAGCTCTCTTCTGCCATGGCTTCATGGCACATGCTTCTCCCTCTGCCTAGAATACTTCCCCACCATTAAAAAAAAAAGGTTTCAGGTTGGTGGGATGCATTATAGTTAAAAAAGAATATATAAAGTACATACATATGCATTGTGTACACACACAGAGTTTAAAGAATGATTATCTATCTATCATCCAGCTAAGAATATGAAGATTAAGAACAGAAGATCCAGGGCAGCCTGGGTGGCTCAGTGGTTTAGTGCAGCTCTCAGTCCAGGGTGTGATCCTGGAGACCCGGGATCAAGTCCCATGTCAGGCTCCATGCTGCTCCTCCCTCAGCCTGTGTCTCTGCGCCTCTCTCTCTCTCTCTCTCTCTCTAATAAATAAAATCTTAAAAAAAAGAATAGAGGATCCTGCCAGGTGCCCCACCCCAGATCATTTCTTCCACTACATCCCAGGAATGACCACTGACCTGACATTTGCAATAATTCTTTGTTTTCCTTTGTAGTTTTACAATCTTTTTAAGATTTTTATTTGTTTATTTGAGAGAGGGAGTGCAGAGAGAGAGAGAGAGAGAGAGAGGAGAGAGAGAGAGAGAGAGAGAGAGAGCATGAGCAGGGGCAAGGGGTAGAGGGAGAGGGAGAAGCTGACTCCCTGCTGAGCAGGAGCCCAATGTGGGGCTGGATCCCAGGATCCTGGGATCATGACCTGAAGCAAAGGCAGATGCTTGCTGACTGAACCACCCAGGCACCCCTGTAGTTTTACAATCTACTTGTAATTCCCCTCCCAAAATTTATATTTGCATAATTTTGAATTTATATATGGCATCATACTATATGTATTCTTTTGTTTCTGCCTTATTTTGTTCAATGCTATTTGTGAGATTTTATTATGTGTGTTTGCATGTTGCTGTACTTCATTCATGTTTGCGACTGAGTGTTTCATGTGATGACTATTCCACAATTTATTTATCCATCCTACTGCATGGGGTTGTTTCCCATTTGGTGCTTTTATAAGCAATGCTACATGGAATTTTGGGTAGATATGTCCTAGGGCAAATGGAAAAAAGTTTTTTAGAGGAATTTTCTAGAAATGGATTTGCTGGGTTGTAGGTTTGGGGCATCTTCACCTTTTTTAGATGATGCCAAACTGTTTTCCAAGATGGTTGTACAAATTAAACACAGTGCATGAGAGTGCACTGCTGATCACTCCTTGGTCTTACCAGACCTGTTTGTTTTTAGTCTCCTAAGGACTGTGTTAGCTTCACCCAAGCACTGGGCGCTGCGCCAAATTCTAGCGTGACCCTCACAATAGCCCTGAGACATTAGTGTCATCATTCCCATTTTGCAGATGAGGAAGCAAAGGTCCAGCTGGTTTAAATCAGCAAATTGTTGTGCTGGGATTCAAGCTCAGGTCTGTGCATCTAGAACCTATGCTTATTCTGCAGTGTCATATGCTGCCTCTGGAAATGTTTGTGGGCCTATGTCCAGTATCAGTGGGTACCTATGAGCATCTTGGGGATGAAACTCCCTTGAGGAGAGCTAAGTGCCGTGACCTTAGTCTTTGGTGCACATCAGCATCAGCCAGTCACCATCCAAGTCCACTGAATCAGAATTGGCAACAATGGGGATCTAGACAATGCAAAGTGGTATCTTTTGATTTTAATTTGCTTTTGCCTGTTGACTAATAACATTGAGCATCGCGTCATTAACTTATTGGTCATTTGAATTTTCCTTAGAGTCTGTTCAAGTCCTTTGCTCATTTAATTGGGTTGTCTTATTGACTTGTTAGGGTTCTTTATGTATTGTGGATATAAGTCTTTTATAGTATATGTGTTGCAAATATGTTATCTCAGTCTGTGGCTTGTCTTTACATTTTTTTCAAGTTGTCTTGAAAAATAGAACAGTTTAATGTTGCTGAAACCCAAATGAGCTTTTTGTTTTTGTTTTATGGTGTATCTTTGTCTACCTCAAGGTGGGAAAGACTTTCTGTTTTATCAGGTATGTGTATTTTTAACACATTTCCCAGTTGGTACTGCTGTGCCCCAGAGCTGGGGACCCCTGGGTATAAATGGTCACCCCAGGTTTGGGGTCAGATCTGAGTTTGACTTCCATCCAGGTTTGCCACTTACTGAGCAAGTCACTTTGTGTCTCTGAGCTTCCCTATCTGCAAAATGAGGCAAAAATAGGGCCTGTCCACAAAATTTGTTAGAGCGGTTCAATGAAATAAAGCTCAAACAGAACTTAGCAAAATCCCTAGCGTGCAGAAAATTGCTCTGTAAAAGCTGTTTCTGTTTACATACTGGCTGGATTCAAGCAGCAGGATGCAATAACATGGTTTGTTGTTTGTTTTCAGTACATCAAGGCCTTCTACAATGAATCGTGGGAAAGAAGACATGGGCATCCAATAGACCCAGACACTCTCACTCTGCTCTGGTCTGTGACGGTGTCCATATTTGCCATTGGTGGACTTGTGGGGACTTTAATGGTGAAGCTGATCGGAAAAGTTCTTGGGAGGTTAGTGGATGCCGTCTCTGCTTGGGGATCCTCTCTGTAATGTTCAAAATATGTATCATAGTCAAGATCCCAGGAGAATTCCATTTAGACAGTCCAGCTGGAGAGATTTTAATGCCAGAAGAGCAAGGGTGGGGGGAGACAGGGCACCTGAGGTCAAAGAAGAATAGAGACCATGGACAATGGACTGACAAGCAGGAGCTGAGGTTGTGGAGGCTGCATGGACAATCAATAAATATTGTCCAAACAGGGAGAGACTAGGGAAGTAATACCCTGGCTTCTGTTTCCAACCTGCTGCTGTGCCACTTATTGGTCAAACCCAAGTAGAAGCCGGAAACACCAGGAGCCTTGCTGGCACAGTCCAGGAGGCTCAGCTCCCAGTGCTCAGAGCAGGATTGGGAGGGAGGAGATGGATCTGGCTGCAGGAGCAAATGGAGAAGGTTCAGCACACTGTCTTAGTGATTGTTCCAGGTAAGTCCATAAAGGACAGTGTTTTGTCAGATGACTGAATGATAACTTATTAAACCAATCTCCCATGGACAGACACTAAGGTTGTTTCAGATCTTTTGTATTACAAATACAGTTGCAATGAGTGTCCAATACTTCCTGTTGAACTTTCCCGTCCGGGCCCCCTCCAGTCAGATCCTCTTTACCTCCTGGGCTTCATTTCTCAGTTATTTCTATCCTAGAAGCTTATCTGAGATCAGATCTATTATCAATAAATTTCCCCAGTCATTCTCTCTGTATCTTCACTTGTAACTTCCTGGGGGATATTAAAGTATTAGTGGAAAAGTAGAGTCCCTGCAGCATTCGTGTCTGAACTTGACTCATGGGTCTTCCAGTTTCCAGTTGTGCGCCTTTGGCCAAGTCCTTTAATTATTTGAAGCTCAAACCTCCTCCTCTGTAAAGTGCCTTGTAGGAAATGTTACAGGGACTGGAGAAAATGAGTGGAGTGAGAAGAGTCTGTTGACAGAAACTCAGTAAATAGAAGCTGCTCTTATTACCATCCTCCTCCTCATTATCCTGACACCCATACACAGGAAGTGCTCAACAGCTCCCCGTATTGCGTTGACCTGAATTGGAAAGGAGATTCAACGGACTCCAGAAAATCTTTCCCCTCCCCAGGGCTACAGGAACACTATTTAAAAAGGTGCCACCCCTTCCTCTAGCCTTGGCCTCACATCCCCAACAAGGAGCAAGTTAGACTGACGGTGTTTCAAAGCAGGCTTTTGCAAGGCTGGGGCAGGGAGCCATCCTGAAAGCATGCATGCCATGCTCATGTGGCCCCCCAGCGAGGCAGGGAAGGTGCTGACACTTTCCTTGACCCAAAGACCACTTCCAGGTGGCAACTAATGGGAACTCCATACTCCAGAGAAGTACACCTATTGCATAGTGGAGGGAGGGCTGCCATTTCCAGAGGTGCCCCAATGTATCAGACACTCACACACACTCTCATTGAATTTTCTCCACTCTCTGGGGTCCTGGGTGGGGGATGGAGTTGAGAGCTTACACAGAGCCTGAGCTCAGGTTGGAATCCACTCCACAGCATCATGTCCCTTCCAGTATGCCAAGCAGATCTTAAGGAGGAGTCTGCTGGCAATGGTACTTTACAGTCCATGACTGTTTGACCTCAGGTAAGTGACCAGCTGGCCCCCAGATTGGCATCACGGACCAGGGTCCATGAAGTACTGTTGCCAAACCCCCGGCCTGGGCCCATTTCTGACCCCAGTTCTCTTGTCTATTCTAGTTAGAGTTACCCTCGGCCCCAGGATTCGTGGTCATGACATATGCTTGCCTTGTGCCTGGCCATGGCACTTATACTCCAAGGCTGCCCCATAAGGAATCTCTGAACCCAGGTGGATGGTAGAGGGAAACCCACGCTGCTGTCGGGGTCTGGAGGTTGTGGCCCAGCAAGTCCTTGCTCCCCAGCTTGCCAGGTGTGTGATATGGGACTTTGCCACCTCACCTTTTCATCCAACACTTTTCCCTCATGTAAAATGAAGGCAATGAAAGTGACTTTGCAACTGTCAATAGCAGGGTGCAAAAAAAAACAAAAAACAAAAAACAAAAAAAAAAACAAAAAAAAACAAAAACCTGAAAGGAGTGGGAAAGAGACAATGTTTCAAAGAAATTAATTTTCTAAGTGAAGGAGGAGTTCTAGGCTGGAGAAAGATTCTATCAAAAGGTGTTGGTCCTTTTGCCCTGGCCAGCTGCCAATTCCTTTTCTCATCATTATGTGAATAAAAGTTGAACATAGATGAAGTCTCAGCTTGAATAGTAACTCTGTTGGGAGGAAAAGGAGCAAAACCCAGAGAAGTCTGCTGCCATTTATTCACTCCCTGCTCCATACGAGTGCTTGACTTTCCATACCTCATTTACTTCTACAACTCTGTATTGTTGTCCCTGGTCTACAAGCGTTGAGTCCGAGGCCCTGAAAGGCCTAGCAACTTGCCCAAGGTGACAAGAATGAGGTTGATCTGACATTCAGATCTGGTCTGTTTGATAAGAGCCTGTGATTTTCCTATCACATGGTGTCTATTAAAACTGCTTCGTGATGCCTCATTATTTGTCTCCCAGGGGTGCTGTTGGGGAAAAAGAAGAGGTTGGGCTTAATATACAAGGCTGGTTTGGGGTCCAGTGGAAGGGACTCAAAGATGTGGCTAGTGGGGGGAAATTTGGGTGGAGTTGGGGGGACCTCGGAGTCAGGTGAGCCTCGTCATCAGAGGTCCAGGAGGGGGCTGATCCTTGCTAGGACATGTTGAACTCATCTGTGATTTGGGAGAGGAGTGAGGACTGCGGGAGCATGAGGGGCCAGGAATGGCCTCTGTAGATGAGTCACCCCATTATCTGGTCTCAGGGGTACAAGTTCCTTGTCTCCTGGAATCTCTGACTTGGAGAATTCTGGTTGAATCCTTCCCCTTCTTTGAGGTCATCTGTCCTCGGCTTAAATGGTTCTAGTGACCGAATCTTCCTTCCCTCATGAGACAAGATCGTGACCATGTTGGTGCATGGATCTGGCTAGAGGATCCACAGTGCTTACAGCTCATGAGGCCATGTATGAGTTACTCAAGTTCTCCAGGCTTTGTGTAGTGGCAAAATGAAGATAAAACAATGCCCGTCAGAAGGTTGTTGTGAAGATGAAATGAGACGGTGGATATAAAGTGCTCATCTCAGTGGTTGACATGGAGTCAGTGCCCACCTTACATTGGCTAGTGCCAGTGTCATCCTTGTCCCTGTCCTCATGAGCTCTTCCTGAGGTGCGTCATCCCATCACCCAACAGAGCTGGTTGTGAATGTGTTCTTCCAATCTCTCTGAAATTGGCCTCCTTACATATATCCTTGGATCTAGTTTTTCCTTCTAGAGCAGAGCAGAGCAGAGAAAATAGCAAAATCCATAGGGAAACTCCCTCGGGCTTTAAAATTAGATCCTCAGGCATATTCTTGAGCAAGCCATATAACCACATTCATCCATGCAGCAAGTATTTTTGAACATTGACTGAGAGCCAGGCACTGTTACTGGCACCTGAGTGTCAGTGACAAACAGCAGAGCCTGAGCCTGCTGCCTAGCCATGAACAATCCATTCTGCACGTCACCATGGCCTTTGGAAGAACTGCAGCTGGGTGGATGGGTAGTAGAGGCACAAGAAGAGGCAGCTGGTGCCTCTTTCAGTTTTAAATCTGGGTAAGTAAGCCCACCTAAGGGAGTGGATATGAGGATGGCACAAAATACTGTTTATAAAATGTGTCACATCACTCATGCCTGTGACAGGAACCCAAACTAAACTGGCTCAGGCCCAGAGGGAACTAATTGGCTCACATAACTGGAACATAACTCAGCTGAATCCACCTGTCTGTTTTCTCTGTCTCTCAGCTCTGCCTTGCTTTGTGTTGGCTTCTTGCACAGGCTCGCTCTCCCCGGTGGAGGCAAGATGGCCCCAGCAGCTCAAGGTGACACTGTTCTTGCTCAGAGTCCCCAGCACAGACTTCTCCTTCCAGTAGTTCTAGAAAAGTTCCAGGCCTGAATCTCATTTACTTGTGTAAGGTTGCATACCCTCAGAGTTTTTCAACCAGGGGCAATATTTTGCCCTCAGGGGACATTTGATGGTATCTGAAGGTATTTCTGGTTGTCACAGCTCAGAGGTGCTACCAGCATCTGGTAGAGGCCAAGAAGGCTGCTAAACACCCTGCAGTGCACAGGACAGCCCCCACCACAAAGAAATTTTGGCCTCCAAATATAACTATTCCCAGATTGAGAAACCCTGGTGAATAACATTCTAAATTTAATTTAAAATTACTGTATTATGTGCCCATTCCTGGAGTCACAGTGGGGTGGGGGCGTGACCATGATGAGCCCCCACACAGAGTTAAGGGCAGGAGTGTTTCTTGGAGGAAATCCAAGGGACTCCCACCAGAAGAAGGATGATGGGTATTGAACAAGCAGTAACAACCAGCCTCCTAAACATCATGCCAGGCAAATAGCAGGTTCTCAAAGTGTTTTCTCCTCTTTTTCTACTTCAATATTTTAAAATGTGTCTTTACTTTATAGAAGTGGGAATGAACATTAGCTCTCTAGGTGCCTGCTGGAGGAGTCTGAAATGCACATGGCAAGCACATACTAGGCTTGAACAACAGAAATTTCTTCTCTCACAGTTGGGGAGGCTTCAAGTCCAAGATCAAGATGGCAATGGGGTTGGTTGCTCCTGAGTCCATTCTCTTTGGCTTGCAGGTGGCTCTCTTTGTACTATGTCCTCACACGACCGTTTTGCCTAGGCAGGAGCATGCCTGGTATCTGTTCTTCTTGTAAGGACCCCTATCCCATTGGATTAGGGCCCCACCCTTATGACCTCACCTAACCATAGTTACCTCCTTGAATGCCCAATCTCCAAATACAGTCATGTTGGAGGTTAGAGCTTCAACAGAGGAATTGGCACATAATTCAGTCCATAATAGAATATATACACTGGTTCCTGAACCATCTCTTTCAGGCTGGAATTATCTTAGGA